CTTGCCTTTTACATCTCACGGGCTACCAGCTCCCTCGGGAAGGAAGTGCTTTCATTTTGCTCATGGCAGGAGGAATGCAAGGCCAGTGGCAAGGCTGGTTTCGCATCCTGGGTGAGTCACAGAGCTGCTGTGCCGCCATCAGGTGCAATGTAAACCCAGACCAGTGCCTGCTCCTTTTCATTAAGAGCCTTCAGCTCACTGCAGAAAAGATGAAAAGGGCTGGTCATTATGCATTACATGTGACCCATTCACTTGCTGATGGGCTGGTTTTCATCTCCCCGGCCTGCCTGTAGGCAAGCATCCCCCAATACCCTCATCTGCTTTTTTTTATTCTCCACCATTTATTTTCCTGGGGTCCTTGTCAGTGGTGGCTCCGTTCCCTCCCCAAACCTCCCAGTGCTGCAGATTCAGAGGCATTAAAAGGCTCCAGCTCTTGCTAAGAAATTCCAGAAAAACTCACTGTTTATTATGAAGCCAACATAGGAAGGATTTGAGAAAAGCACAACATAAAGAGAGAGCCAGGGAGATGCAGAGCACGGCCACATCCCGAAACGTGCAAAGGTGAAGGGGAAGGGGAGGTGGGGAGCATTTGGAAGCCCATTAAATGAGGGCTTATCATCAGATTTATGTAAATCACTTCAAATGCCTTCATTTATTAAAAGTATTAAGCTACATTACTGCTTGCCTTTGGTCTCCTAATTTGGTTGCTAATGTCGAAGACAACTGTTGAAATTAATTTGAAATTAATTATATATATATATAATTACTTAATGAATCTCACATTCACTGCCCTTAGCTCTCAGTTGACAAAGGAATCTCACCCACCGCATGTAAGAGGTTGGAATACTGACTGTGATTTTAAAACGGTTGCTAAATTACAGTTTGCAAATACTTTACATTTATATCATGCACTTCATCTTGAAGGATCTCAGTGTGTTTGAAATGTTACATAACATTCATTCTTTAGTAAAATTCCATCACAAAAACTTTCTGGGCATCAATCTTCTTATTTCCCTGCATGCCTTGGAATTAAATCAAATTTAGCTGTATTATTATGCAAACACAAAATCATACCTTCATTAGAAGATTATTATTAGGGCTGCAAAGTCAGACACTTAAAAGATAGGAAATGCTGGAACTGCAGCTCTGTGCAATATAAATTCCTTTTCCCATGCATATGTATTCTCAGAGTCTTTAATTTTATGATCATATATTTTCCCATACTCACCCCCTCCCTCAGGGGACTTACTAGTCCTTGTTAGTGTTCAAGAAAAAATAAGAAAAAAAAAAGTTCCAAGAAAAAGCTAGCAGGGAAAGGTAGACTTGTGAAGTCCTTGCCTCATTCCTTACAAAAGCTGCAAAGGTTGTAATGCGTGTTCCTCCTTTTCTGGGTGGCTGACTTGATACTCCATAAATCCTGACCGGCAGAAATGCTGAACGTGCACAGCACTCACAGGCTAAAGAAACATTTGAACGTGCAGAGCAGTGCAGAGCATTTTACATAC